GTCACATATCTTTTCAGGCCCTGAAGGACGAAGTAGCCATCTTCACTAGATCGCTCGCTCGCGCTGCACAGTGCAAAAATAATATGGTAGCTTATTCGAAGATTACTCCTCCCCCCGAATTCCTCAGATTGCTGAAGGAACGATTTGCAGATTCAGTCGAGGCATAAGGGCCTCAGACGAACTGCAAACCATCCACTCACGCCAATGGAGGAGTGTTAGGGCACTCAAGGGCGTTATGGACGAGCTTGTAGCTGTCCCAGACCACGGGGTCACTGAGACCCAGTTGGTCAACTTATTTTATTGTGCCATGCCAAAGCCCCTGCGTGGGCACTTCTTCGTAAAGAGCAAACAACCCACCATGACATATAATACGTTGAGTAGAGAGGTGGCGCTGTTTGAGGCACAGTCCATGCTAGTTTCCACTTTTTGGCATAAGGACTTAGGAAAGGGGAAAAAGTGTGGAAGGTCGTCCCATCTCTGGTCAGGTTAGGGCCAAGGATCATCTGATGCTTACTTTAGATGGTGGTATGGATGAGGCCTCATATAGTCAGATAGAGTGGGGCCTAGAGGAAGAGGACAATAGTGGCGGTCAGGGGAGGACCTACGCTGCTGTCGCCACTGGAGGGAGGCCGCAAGGAGGAGGAGGAGGCCAGGGCCAAGGGGTTCGGACCTCAAGTGGCCGAGGACAGGGAGCTCAAGAGGTTGGCGACAGAGGAAACCGCCAAGAGGGAGGTAGGGGTCAAGGTGCCCCGCCAAATCGTTCGCGTTTCTATCGGTCATCTCCAAGAAGATGTGGATGGCACCTTGGCTTGCCACAAGGCAGGCCATGGGAAGATTTGGGCTTCGACCAGTCAGTGTGGCAGCGTCATGTGGACCAGGATCAATGCATTTATTGCGTTGACCTTGGCCACATAATTAAATATTGTCCAAAGTATAGAGAAGCCCGTTATGCTGCACAAGCAGCAAAAGGCCATCGCCGGTAGGGGTTGCAACTGCCCTTACCCCTAGGCCATGTGGAGAAGAGTGCACGCACCACAGAGGAACTCCCAAACCACATGAGCGTACAACAGAGGTTGCTGGCCAGTACCTAGATAGTTGTTCAAAAACTGCTTGTGTTAAGAGTGTCTCTAGGTACTTCCCTCACAGGCGTGGCAGAAGAGTTGAAGGAGAGGATGCCTGCCTAGGCCAAGATGAATGTTACATGCTACGCCTGCAACAGGCTGCACGGGCCCCCTTTCGAGGCCGTGACGTTTTCAGGCCAAGAGCTTGAAAACAAGGGCCTACAGGCCCTGTGTCGTTTTAGCCTGAAAGCCTGAAAACAAGGGCCTACAGGCCTTATGTCGTTTCGGGTTAAATCAGGGTCTTTCCGGCCCTGAGCATTTTCAGCCTGAAACTGAGGGCCATTTTCAGGCCCTCATCAGTCCGACCCGCCCTGAAACTCGGGCAACAAACTAGGGTTTTAGCACAGGCCATTTCGGGCCTGTTTTCAAGACAACCTTTGCTTGAGCTTCAACGCCAGGGTCTGGCACGTTTCGACATTGGCAAGAGCAACCTCTTGGACGGGCCAGCACTATATAGGACTGACCCGCCCTGCAGGCCGGCAGGTAGTTCCTAGGTACTTCCCAGGCACGTCACGTGCAGTTCAGGAGGCAGGAGGTAGTCTTCAGGATTCGGCAGCAACACTCTTGAGGAGCGCTGCAGGAGTAGTAGTAGCGTTAGCAGTAGTCTCCAGCGTTGGGCGGTAGTAGCGTTAGCTGTACTCTTCAGCGCTGGGCGCCATAGCAGCTAGAGTAGTACTATAGAGAGAGATTGGGCGGAGGCCAGGGGGACTTACTAGCAGCACCATCGCTCCAGCTTTGTCTTCGAGGTACCTGCAACACAGCGCCACCTTCACAGGTTAGTACCTGGCATACGAGAGAGAAAGAGTTCTTCTTCTTCCTCTTCTCAGTCCACCGTCTCCCTCTCACCCTCTCATTATCTGACTTGACTGCATCAGCAGACTATGAGAGAGAGAGAGAGAGAGAGAGAGAGAGAGAGAGAGAGAGAGAGAGAGCTTCGTGACATTTGGATCTTGACTCGACATTGGACCTTAGATATTTTGACGAGGGATTATTTGGGACTTGTAACGAGACTTGGTGTTGACGACTTTCCCATCTCTCCCCTCCTCTTCTCCGTCTAATCCCCTCCTCTTCGTCTGTGCATGAACTGGACCTGGTGCCTCTTCCTGTGTATAGCACCAGGCTCCCTTCACGCCGTGTGGGGAGAATGATGTATGTTTGGTCTGTGTTGTAACATTGATTGGGCTAGTCATTAGTATTCTAGTACTTTGCTGCGCTATCTTGTACGACGCGAAAGAGGTCAGTCCCGGTCAGGTCAGGACTTGTATCCAAGTCTTCCACTGCGCTGTAAAGCACCATTTTGTTTGTATCAGGATGTACACTGCTTGTTGAGATTTCACTTGCACTGCATTGTCCATTCAGTCCTTTTCATCAGATTGCGGATCCTTGGTTTATATGTACATCGCCCAGCTGGGCATGTAACAATTGGTATCGGAGTACCGCACGTGAATCAGGACAACCTGATCTGACACGTGTGAGGGGGCTAAGTAGCTGATTAGTCTTGATTGATTGATTAGAGCACACTCACTGCGGAAAATCAAAAAAAAAAAAATTATGTTCTTTGATTTTGTTTTCTCGCTATTTTTGTTGTGGAAAATCGCAATAGCGCAAGATCTGAAATTTCCATTTTTGTTTTTCTTTTGTAAATTTGAAATTTCGTTGTTGGAAAATCCGAAATATCTTTTTTTCAAAAATTTCAATTTCCTTTTGCAATTTCCCGTTATTTAGAAATCCGGAATATTTTTTTTTGAAATTCGTTAAAAAAAAAAAAAAAAAAGGTACGGGAAATCCCTCTTGCAGTACCATTTTCCAAACTGCGAATACTCATCTGAGTAAGTTTGAATACTTGTTATTTTTTCTCGGAATTTTTCTTATTCGCAGTTCTATGATTTTCACTACCTGATAATCATTGGCAATCTGAAAGTTCAAATTTTTTTCTCATTGTTACTTCTGCACTTCAAGGGAGGTTGGGAGACCTACTGAACTTGCAAAACTCAGGATTTCATGTTCTCGAAACTTTTTTTTGCAAAGTTCAAACTTTTCTTTTTTTTTATTAGTGGCTCCTTATCTGGGCGATTTAGCCCCTCTCCCCACCTATGTTGTTGCCCCCTCTGGTCTCACTTTCTCTATATGTCTCCGGGTACCCCCGACGGCGACATTGGTAAGTTGCCACGTCAGCAGGCCACGTCAGCAGACCACGTCAGCAGTCCACGTCAGCCGACAGCAGTGCCACGTTAGCAGCAGGGAGTATCACGTCAGGAGGCCCCTGGCCTGGTCTATGCTCTTGCGCTCGCAAACAGCCGTCATGGACCAGAAGTCCGGGGAAACGGACGAGGCCTATCATGCTCGGATGCTGCTTCTGATTACCGAAGCCAAGCAACGGTCGGATGCAGTAGCAGCTGCAGCAAAGAAGAAGGCAGAGGATGTCGAGAAGGCACGTCTGTTGGCACTTGAACAGCAGCGCCAGCAAGACGAGGCAGCAGCAAAGGCTGCCGATGAAGAATGACTTCAACGACGCGAGAAGATATTCAGCGGAGAGCAGCTTTGCTCACAATGGCAGCGGACTGGCGGGTCGAGGCCGAGAATGGGAAGCTGGAAGAGAGTGGAAACAAGATCTCTCTAGTCCTCTCCCATCTCACGGACCTCCTGGCCAGGTGCATTGCACAGCAGGAGGACATTCACAACCTCGACGAAGCGGTTCAGACACACAATCAGGTGTTTGACCAACTCACCAGCCGCCTCCAGCAGCTGGAACAAACCGTCGCCGCCCCCGTTGCCAGCTCTTCCAACACCTCCGATCGCCTCGAGGCATTGGAGATTGATGTCGGATCCCTCAACGACGGCGTGCAGTTACAGCAAAACCCCACACAACAGTTGGAGCAGCGGATCTGTACTGCCGCCACTCACTCGAGATCGGAACCGCGCGAGACAACTCCAAAGTTCGATGATCAGGAGATCTTCTGCGATTCGACGAAGACGGACCCGATTCCGTGGTTCCGTAAGTTCGAACTGAAGTTGCAGCTACACTATGTCAGCGAGCACAAGCACCACTCATACTTATACTCCCGCTCAGGGGGCGCGTGCCAAGCATGGCTGGACAATCTCCTGTCCAAGTACAAAGTGGTAGCTTCCGACTTGCATACCAAGATCAGCTGGGATGATCTAAAGGCGGCGTGGCATAAGCGGTTCCAAGTAGAGCCGCCGAAGATCAAGGCAATGGACAAGCTGATGGTCTTCGAAAAAGGCGCGCTGCCGAGTACCAACACTTGACATCCGTCCCAGACATTCAAATGGGCTTCAAAGCCATCAAACACTACTTCATCTCGAGGTTGTGTCCGACGTTGGGCAATGCGTTGACTCACGTCAAGGACACCCTGACACACAGGCAAAACTCTTCGACAAGGCCGCGCAGATTATTGTCACGAACAAGGAGGCCAAGAATCTCCAGCGTTCGTCTGCGCCACGCTTGAGCAGAGATCAGCATCGGCCGAAAGTGGTCGTGGTCGCGGCGACAACGCCAAACGACCAAACTAGCGAGGCCGTGTCTACAAATGAAGGGGACAGACTCGCAGCCGCCCGGAAAGGTGGCCGCTCTGACAAAGGCCGAGGACGCGGCAAGGCGAAGACAAGCAGCGCATCGAGCCCGGGCCTAGCGCAGCAGCTCCAGCCCCATGGTCCCATTACGGTCTCTCCGAGCAAGCATACAAGGCATGCACGAGATTCCGCTATTGTTTGTGGTGTAACAACGATCTCCACGACACAATGGCCTGCCAATTGAAAGGGAAGGGCAAATCGGGAAATTGAGCACCACCGGGAGTGACTCGACGACACTCTGGACGCCTTCAGAACCGGTCACTTCGCGGGTGACCGCCCTTCGTTCCGAGGCACATGCGGAAGTCGATAGTCCTCTTCTTTATTCTTTTGAGGACTATGCTGCCCGGCTCGTTCCTACGCTGGGTACTCATGCTCAAGGACAAGACGTGTGTGCGGCATCTTCTTCGTCCGACAACGACAACTATCGTCTTCATGTGGTTCTTCACGCTGAGGTATTGGACCCGCTCACGTCCGAGGATTTCGCATGGCTTCCTCTCCCGACCACGGGCCGCTTGCCGGGACCACAATGCGCAGCATTATGCGCTCATCTTCACACGTGCTTATCCTTCTATGCACCACCAACTTCGCCGACGGATGACGAAGTCACGGTGGGGGACATCCTTGCGTATGTTACCAAGGGTGGCCTGCGAGTTTCGCAGGCAGCGGTACGATGACAACACACCGCTCCTCTATGTCCGCATCCAAGTTGGGCAAGCGTCCTGTAGCGTTTTGCTGGATAGCGGCGCGTCTCGCAATTTTATGAGCCAAGCCTTTATGCAAAAGGCTAGCCTTGGCGCACAAGTTTGAAGGAAGGCAAACCCGACAGCGATCAAGTTGGTGGACGGAAGGACGCAACAGCTTATCAACCGCTACATCGAGGCCGTACCGGTGTGTATTTCGCACCTCATGCATGCGAGCCGGTGACATTTGACATTTTGGACACGGACTTCAACATTATTTTGGGAATGCCTTGGCTTGCATGCGCGGATCACACGGTTAACTTCCACTGGAGGACTCTTACCGTTCGCAACGCCTTGGACGCCAAAGTGTCGTGTACTATTCCTCTTCCGCACCCTTCGATTCGGTGCCAAGTGGTGATGGCCAAATCATTCCGGGCTACTTGTGCTTACGAGCAGCCCAACGAAATCGGCCTATGTTTCCTACGGACCGTCGCGGTAGCCGACTCTTCACCCACGGACTTGTCTTCGGACCCCCGTGTGGTGCGGTTGCTTGACGAGTTCGCCGACATCTTCGAGTCACCTACCGGTGTGGTGTCGGATCGACGAATCTCTCACGAGATCATTCTCGAGGCCGGTGCTGTGCCGCCGAAAGGTTGCATTTATCGCATGAGCGAGGAGGAGCTTACGGTCCTCCGCGCGCAACTCGATGATTTGTTGGACAAGGGTTAGATCCGGCTTAGTAGCTCTCCATACGGAGTGCCAGTTCTCGTCGTACGGAAGAAGAACAAAGATCTACGTTTGTGCATCGACTACCGCAAGCTCAACGCGCAAACCGTCAAGAATGCGGGGCCTCTTCCTCGCATCGATGATCCTCTTGAACGATTGGGCAGCGCGAAGTACTTCTCTAAGTTGGATTTGAAGTCGGGATGCCATCGGATTTCGATCTGACCGAACGATCACTACAAATCCGCGTTCAAGACGCGGTACGGGCATTTTGAGTGGGTGGTCATGCCTTTTGGCCTCACCAACGCCCCAACGACCTTGCAAGCGGCAATGACCAACGAGTTTCGTGTGATGGTGGACCGGTTCGTGCTGGTCTACTTAGACGACATTCTCGTCTATAGCCGCTTATTGGAGGATCATCTTGAGCACCTTCGACGAGTGTTGGAGACGCTCCGTCGCGCCAAGTACAAGGCCAACCTCGACAACTGCGAATTTGTCCGGTTAGAGCTGGAATGCTTGGGCCATTTTGTCACACCGGAGGGCATCAGTCCGCTATCGGACAAGATTCAAGCCTTCCAAGAGCGGACGGAGCCGCGGAACGTCACGGATGTCTGTTCGTTTCTTGGCCTTGCTGGCTACTACCTATCAAGGGATACCCGAAGATCGCGGCCCACTTGTCCAAACTTCAATGCGAGGATCGGCCGTTTGACTTCGGAGAGGATGCACAAGAAGCATTTTTGGCTCCCAAAGCCACACTATTATCTGCGGAGGTCTTACGCTGTCGTGGCAAATACCCTGACTTTGCCGGAGTTTTTCAACGTCGGACGCTGTCCGACTCTTTCGTTGAATTGAAGGACTTGATGAGACTAGCGTCTGCTAAAAGTTTATTCAGACCAAGCCTGTGACTGAGAGACTAAAGGTTTCGAACTTTAGTTCGGACGCCTGTGAGGTCCGAGAGTAGCAACAGTAACCGGAAGTGCTTTGCTTTTGTCGGAGCCCCAGGAATGTGCAGACATGCGAACGCAAAAGCTAGACCTATTTTACCTAAAATAATGTTGCGGGGCTGCTAAGCCGCGCGATTCAGCAAATGGAGGGTGGCTTGACGTTTCCCTCCTGAAGGTGGTGGGGGTTGGTTCGAGTGATGGTAGGTGGATGAAAGGGAGGCAGAGGGAGTTTTTCGAAGGATTCTTCATGGAGAATAACGCTTCAAGGAGGAAGGAGGACATCGCCATCTCATGTGAAGCTTGCTGCGGGTGAAGAAGGTTGCGCGTCAACATGATCTCAGGGTTTCGTTTTCAATAGTTTTTCTGATTGGTTGACTTTGTATTGCCTGTTTTCCCTCTCTCTCTTGATTCTTAAAGTCCGCATGTCGTAATTCTTGATGCTCACCATATGATGATGATCTAATTAGGTTTTTTGAATTTTGTCTTAACTCTTCTGAATTTATGATTCGATTGTTGTAGGTGTATCACTCGTTTGTTTTTTCTATATTGTAATTCTGGATATTCTTTCTATTGATGATGATCTGATTCAGTTTTCTGTTGGTGGTTCCTTCTGATAATATGGTTTCTTAAACTTTTTTGTGCCATACATCTTTGCTAAACGTTTCTCAGACCGTGGTTTGGGAATCTGATTCGAAAATCCTTTATGGATATCTAAACCTAAATTTCATATAATTTCTCGTACATTTTATCACTCAGTAGTTTTCCTTATCATCGATCTTATGGTCTTGATTTTTTCTTGATTTTTTATACAAACTCGTTCTGATCTTTGATGCCTAAAAGTAGGTATTTTTTCAAAACCAAATGGTTGCTAATCATAACACCGTGCGGTAAATTTTGATTCGGATTGGCTTTCTTTGTTTGCTAATCTCTCCCTCTCTTCTCTCCCAAGATCTTTGTCCTAGTTCCCTCGTCTCAACATGCATGCACACTCCCCACCTACGAGAATCTACTTTGAATGCTACTCACTGATATCCTATTACTAACCCTTCTACTACTACTAGCACAAGCGGGCGCAACTATGGCCTCTTCTGCAGCCAACGCCCAACACTTCTTCCTTCTGGCGCAGCTCTCAAGCCAGCGCTCTTCCCCTGCACTATAGCGCACAAGTGCCTCAACACTTCCACGCATCAATGCAATGGAGAATCTGCCTTGTGGGGAGGCTGCCTCGTTTCTTGTAGTGCTGGTCTCCCTTTGCGAGGTCTGAATTCAGTCTTTCTTGGGTCCTTTCCCGGTCCCGGGCCTCTGTGGAGTGTGTCCCAGTTCCTTATCCTCAAGGTCTGCTGCTGTTGCGGCCTTCAGGCCTGAATTTCGGACTTCCAATCTGTATCTAGACTTTCCCTTTGACTTGAATCTGGACTGGGACCTTATCTCTTTGACTTCTTTATGAACAGACACACCTACTGTTCGACAGACACACTTACTGCATGAACAGACACATCTCCTGTACGACCAGACACATCTCCTGTACGAATAGACATGACTTGCACACCCCCTGGATGAACAGATGTAACTCCCACAATTGAATACTGCAACTGTTCGTCCAGGGGCACAACTGTGACCTTTGACATGACTTTTTACTTCAGTTAGGATGTGACTTTTGTCCCAGAGAACATGTCCTTTGATCTGCTTTTGGGCTCTGGCCGAGTGACCCATTATGCTGCATTCGTCATTCAAGGTCTGAATTGGGTATAGACCCTTTTACTCTCGCCGGCCTAGTTTCGAGGTCCTCTGAGGAAAAACCTTCATCTATCTATAAAACTTATTCCTCTTCTTGCTCTTTTGTAAGCAGATACAATATAAGGCGCAGACTCAATCAATTATTCTCTTGTGAACCAGCGATCTTCACTTGAGTCCTGATAGTTAAATCTTACTTTATACTGTCGCTGGGGTTTGCCTCTACGTCCGGTTTGAAGAGTACTTTCAGCAATCCTGTCCACATCATATTTCTCATCCATGCTAGGAGGTATCGTCGATCTGCGACTGGGAAATAACTCATTTGTCACGCAAGGTAAGAACTTTGAGGCGAGAAATACAAGATACGTATGCAAATGTAGAGGAATCTCAATCACGTAAGAAGGTCCATCCACATTTCCAATCACATCTAGAACTTGCCAAGGTCCTCTGTAGGCGGGTAACAATTTCTGAGAGATGTTCTCTTCAGGAACAAACTCTTTAGTCTTAACCCATACCAGATCACCTACAACAAACTGAGAAGGTCTTCTGTGCTTATTTGACTGTTCCACAATCTGATGTTGTGCCTTCACTATATTTTTCTTTACTTTCTCAATATCTTTCTGATATTGTATCGCAAATTCGCTTGTTCCTAGTGGAATCTTATGCACTTGATCCGGATTCAGGCGATCAATAGGCCTACGTGGTTGCCATCCCAAATGCAGCTCCATCGGGGTCTTGCATGTAGATAGGTGAACAAAGTTATTATAGGTACTAGCAACTTTGGGCAAATGTTCATCCCAATCAACCTGGTCGGGACATATGTACATGCACAATGTTTGCTGCAAAATCTTGTTCATTTGCTCAGTTTGACCGTTTGTTTCAGGGTGCCTGCCTGATGACATAGTTAATTTAGAGCCATAAACACTCATCACTTGTTGCCATTGTTCACTCGTGAATCGCGAATCTCTGTCACTTACAATCTTTAGGGGATGCCCATAATCCTTCAGCCAGTGGTTGAAGAATTCCCGAATTACCAATTCTGTCTTTGCTTCCACTAACAATGCTACGAAGACAACATACTTACTAAACCTGTCAACGATGACTATGACTTGCGTCTTTCCATTCCTGCTTTTTACCTTGGTGTCCATAAAGTCAATGGACACAAAGTCTCTAGGACCTGTCGGAATTGGCAAAGGCTTCAACAGACCGAGGGGAGGCTGAGTGGTGCTCTTATTTTTTTGGCACACTTGACAGTCCTGCACATATGCAATGCAATCGAGTTTCATGTGAGGCCAGGTGTAGGAACGTAACAGGCTTGCATAAGTCTTTTTCCACTCAAAATGGCCTTCGGTGTCATGGCACTCCCCCCATATCAGACTTTTGATCTCTTCCTCATTTGGAATACAAAGCCTATCATGCACATCTGTTCTTTCAAATAACAGTCCTTGTGTAATACGATAGTTACGAAACTCTTGAAGCGCTTCTTGTATACGCTTAATCATAGTGTCATAAACAGGATCTGTGGAATACGCACTTTTACTTTTCTCTTGTAGATCGGTGCCCACATCTAGATATGTTACAATGGCACCGAAGAAATCAGATCTTCAACTTAGTGCGTCAGCAACAACGTTATACTTACCCTTAACTGGCTTTAGCTCAAAATCATACTGGTCAATCTCAGCGGTTGTGGCGGACCCACCAGGTGTGGTGCTCTGCCAAAGACAGAGATGGAGATGGAGGAAGAACGGGAGCGAGATGGCACAGCGCAGCTCCCACGCCAGACTCCAACGCACGTACTCCAAACTGTGCGAATGTAGAATGATCAGAAAAACAAACAACTGTTGGGGTATACCCCAGCGGACTGACAGGACTGGACTGGACTGGCTGGTACCGATAGAGGTACCGGCCTGAACTGGACTGCCCTGAATACAACACAGGCCTGTGAGAACAGGCCAAGGGGCTGATCTCACAGGCCAACCAGAGGTCCGCTACACGATCCTCGGCCTGTGATGGATCGCCTAGTTACAAGCACATGTATAAGTCCTAAGAACAGCAAAAGCAGAACAACTAAATCCTAGAAATGTCAGAGGCAGTAGCCTCAGTCTGAGAGCAACAAAGCAACAACAAGTCAACAATATGTCACAGGAGGAGTGTGTCGCAAACCAAAGGGTGGGATGGTCTCTGAGGGTGGTGAATGCAGCCTAGGGGTCGATAACTCCTAAGGGCATCCACACATAGTGACAGGGGGAACACATGTCATCAGGCTCAATGAGGGTAGGGAACTGGGAGCGAACAGAACCAATGACCCTAACAGATGGACCATCAGAGCGGGTAATGCTCGACTAACGGGGTGATCGTTATGGAGGGTCGACCATGCAAGGGAACAAGAGAGCCTGGTATACTGGGCATGAGGGTCGGCATAGGGTAGAAAGGGGATGGGTAAGGGAATCATGCAAATGACTTCTAAAGTGAGGGAAGTCGGAGCTGGATCCGTAAGCTGGGAAGCCAGGGCAACGCTACGGTCCCGATGCCTATATGTATACCAAGGGAGAGCCCAACTCAGAGGAGCCCGACGAAAGGGAGACCATCATGCGACACAACAAGGGTACTGTATAGGGTAAAGTGGTAAGAGAGTGACGACGTCTGAAGTAGGCAGAGCTGATCGTGACGAAGTCCATGAAGCTGCCGATGACGTCCATGATGAGAAGTTTGGAATGTCGTCGAGGAAGTGCCGCAGCGTCGACGAGCTGAAGTGGCCAAAACTGGAGTGGATGGAGTACTGAGAAGTCAAAGACGTGGGAAGATAAGTCAGAGTCAATCGTCGTATCGAGCAGGACGACGACGAGTGCGCTGTGGACGCTCAGAAGCATCCGGCTGCTGCTGAAGGTCTGCCTCAGATGGAGCAGGCTCGAGTTCAACGGTCTCCTCAGCCGGGGGAGAAGGAGGAGGGTCAGTGGGCTGAGGAGGAGCAGTCGACCCAGCACGACGAGCACGGTCATAGGCACGTACCAACATGCTAGCGTGCTGCAAGTGCTCGAGGGGCTCCCAGGTAGCCTCCTCATCAAGGTAACCCTTCCAACGTATGAGATACTCGACGTCGGGAGGGTTGTCGTCGGTGACTCGACGACCAATGATGTCTGAAACGAGGAACTCCTCGTGGTCATCCACCATGATGGGTGGAAGGCTCTGGTATGGTCGTCCAACGAAACGCTCAGACGGTCTGCGGTAAGGACGCATCAATGAGACGTCGTAGATAGCGTGCACACGAGCCTCGCGTAGGTAGTCGGCCAGTTTCACACGGAAGCTGACCGGGCTAGAAGCCGTATCAGAACCGACAGTCTTGAGGATGCAGCATGGGCCAAAGAAGCGACGCCGAAACTTGCAAAGCGTGTCCGCTTCGAGCTGTAAGTGGCGGGCGTCAATAAGCACATCATCACCGACTTTGAATGGATGATCCATCCTCGATCGGTTCGCACGTGCTGCCATGCGAGTCTGGGAAGCGGCTATGTGCTCATGTGCGGTCTTCATGATCGACGTCATGTGTGCAACCCAATCATCCAGCGCGGGACAACTCGTGTCGGGGTGCATTTGTGACGGTCGAAGGAAGTCCGCGGGAACACGGGGGTGATAGCCGAGGTCGCAATAGTAAGGCGACATCCCCGTGGCTGGCGAGACGGCGTGGTTGTAGGCTATCTCCGCGTGGGCAAGATGGAGATCTCACTGTTGGTCGTCATGAACAATCTTTCGGAGAATATCTCCAAGAGTCATGTTCATGACCTCGGTCTGACCATCAGTCTGAGGATGGTAAGACGAGGAGAAGCGGAGCTCGGTGCCGTATACCTCGTGCAGCCGTCGCCAAAATCGGCTGGTAAAGCGAGGGTCACAGTCAGATATGCTCAGAGGTAAGCCGTGGTCACGCATGACTCGGTCGAACACAATGTCGGCGACCTCACGTGCACTGATGGCATAGCGGCACGGAACGAAGCGTGCACGCTTCGTGAAGCGATTGACGACGACCAGGAGAGCATCATGACCGCGGGGGGTTGGGGGACGAAGAGGACCGATAAAGTCCATCGAGATGGACTGCCAACGACCCTCAGGGATAGGAAGAGGCTGGAGCAAACCATAAGGCAAGTGGTTCGCACTGTTCACCTCATGACAGGTGGGACACTCGACAACGTAGTCCTTCACAAAGTCCTTGCGCTTCGGCCAGACGTACAGGCGGCTCACACGAGCCAACGTCTTGTAGAAGCCCGTATGACCGACGGCTGCCTGGTCATGGAACTCTCCTACTGCCCAGACACGTAGCTGTCCAGTGGAGGGAACGCAAAGACGGGGCTCTCCGGTGCCCTGTGAACCATGCCAGTACACAAGACTGTTGTCCCCGAGAGAGTAGTTCGGGACGGTCTTGCCACTCCGAAGGGTCGCGTGGATGTCGCGATAGTCGGGGCAGTGGCGGTACTGAGTGCGAAACTTGCCGATCACCGAGTGGTGGACGGTGGTGACCGAGATGGAAGAGAGCTGAATCTGCTCCTGGTTGTGGTCAGGGCGCGAGGATAAGGCATCTGCGACTTGATTAGTTTCACCCTTGATGTGCTCAGTTGTGAAACTAAACTCGGATAGGTCGCGCCACCAGCGAGCCTGTCGAGGAGTGAGCTTCGACTTTGTCAGAAAAGCCTGGACAACAGAGTTGTCCGTGTGCACCGTGAACGGTGACCCGTGCAGGTAGTGACGTCAGTGCCGAGCGGCATAAACTACTGCGAGAACCTCACGTTCATCAACGGTGTAGTTTATCTCAGCGGGCAGGAGCTGACGGGAGTAGAAGGCTATCGGACAATCACCTGAGCGAGACTCGACAGTGCCGTCCTCGGCGATGGTAGAAGAATAGTCAATGGAAGGCTCATCAGTAGCTGGAGGAGTAGGCGTCAGTCGGGAAGCAATGGTAGGGGTAGGTGGTGGGAAGCGAGGGATACGAGGATGAGAGGAATCAGGGGAGGAGGGGAAGATCTGAGAAAGCATTGCTCCTACAGCAAAGTCTGACCCATCGGTGGTAAGCAAAAAAGGGCGATCAAAATCAGGTAGGTGAAGAACCGGTGCGCATGTCACCGCCTTCTTGAGGTCGCGGAAGGCGTCCGCGTGGAGGGGTGTCCAAGCCCAGGGCGGGTTCTTCCGGAGGAGGGTGGAGGTAAGGACGTTGGAATACCTAGCGTATCTCTGGATGAAATTACCACAGTAGCTGGTAAGGCCTAGGAAGATGCGAAGCTGCTTGGCGGATGTGGGGACGGGCCACTCCGCGATAACAATGATCTTCGCGTCGTCCGTGTGGAGACCCTGGTCAGACACGTAGTGTCCTAAGAAATCCACTTTGTGCTGGGCAAAGCGGCACTTGCTCAGCTTGGCGTAGAAGCCATGTCTGCGCAAGCGGTTAAGGACGTCGCGGAGGTGTCTGAGGTGTTTCTCAAGGGTACGACTGTAGACCAGAATATCGTCGAGGTATACGAGAACGTACTGCTCCAGGATGTCCCTGAAGATGTCGTTCATCGCCTTCTGGAAGGTAGCAGGTGCGTTGGTGAGGCCGAATGGCATCACCGTAAACTCGTAGTGGCCGAAGCGCGATCGGAACGCTGTCTTCGGCTGGTCCGCTGCAGCGACGCGGATCTGATGGTAACCGCTACGAAGATCAATCTTCGTAAAGAAGCGGTTGCCTGCTAGGCGGTCGAACAGCTCGTCGGAACGAGGCATGGGGTAGCTGTTCTTAACCGTGTAGCGGTTGAGGCCGCGATAGTCAATGCAAAGACAGAGAGTTCCATCCGCTTTGTGAGCAAAGAGGATGGGTGCACCCCACGGGGAGTTGTTGGGTTTAATGAAACCCAGTCTTAGGAGCTCCTCAAGCTGACGCTCGAGTTCGGTGACCTCAGGGATCGAGAGTTTGTAGGGTGTCTGGTGGTGAACACGATAGTCAAGCACAAGCAAGATGGAGTGCTCGATGTCGCGCATCGGTGGGATGCCGGCGTACGAGAACGACGATGGGAAAACGTCGTGGTACTCTCGAATGAGATCACGAACTGCGGGCTCCAAGTCGGTCGTATATCGTGCGAGTTCCTCAGCGTCAACGTCAGCGCGCGACGGCGGGGTGGGCTCAACGGACGACGGAGGGTGGGAAGTAGAGATGGGAGCCATGGAGATAGAAGGAGGATCTTGCTCCAGAGGGATGAGCTCGACGTCGGGACAGGGTGGATCATAGTGTAAGAGATCCGTCACGTTCACCATAAAGAAGGTGACGTCGTCCTGTCGGATGAAGTGGGCGAACTGTCGAGACGAGGTGACAGTGATAGAAGGAGATGGTGTGGGCGCAGAAGGCTTCGGGGGAGGAGGATCGGGGCGTGGGGTCGCAGTGGTACCTATGAAAGGTACGCGATACGTCTGTCCACACTTCGTTTTGAGAATGAGAGTGTTGGTCGCCCAATCGGCCTCCGTGCTGCGTAACCGATGAGACCACGGAGTACCGAGAATGAAGTCGTACCCCATGTCCATCACATCGAAATGTGCGGAGGAGCGGTGGCGACGAGACGCCGGGGGACAATCAGTCGGCTCGAGAGTGAGGAAGAAAGGGAGGTCGGTGACCGTCCGATCGAAGAAGCGTTGGGTCTTGTCATCCCCTAGGGTAACGGAGATGGGAGTCGGAGACCCTGTCGTGGGTAAGCGGGCTTCTTTCACCACACGTGGGTGAATGAAGTCGCCCTGAGAACTGGAATCCCACAACGCTGAGTACACCCTCGTGGAGGTCCCCAGTCGTACTGGAATAATCAGGAGAGTGCGATCAGGGTCAGAGAGGATGGTGAAAAGACGAAGCAGTGCAGCGACATGGAGGGTGAGTCGCTCCTGCCGAGCCTAGAGCATGCTCAAGTCCAGAAGAGAGGACACGATGTCCTCGCGAGTAGCGAGCCGCTCGCTGCACCAGGCTGAGCGAAGGGCTTGACGCGTCGGTAGGCGAGGAGAGGTAGGAGGGGAGACGGTGATATGCGGAGGCGCAGACGGTACTGCGACAGAGGGCTGAGTACACTCTGTCGGGTCCAACGATACCTCGACTCCAGTAGCGAGAGGGGCAAATGTCGGGAAGCCGACTATTGAGAATGGCGTAGGTGTACACTGCACCGTGGCTAGGAGGCGCCGCGGGGATGCAAGACGCCGGGGGGGGACTGAGCACGACGCTGGCGGGAAAGGTCAGCGTAGTGGCTGTCGAGGGCGGCAGTGTAAGGGCACCGCAAGGAGGTATGACCGTCCTGGCGACATCGCAAACACCCACGCCAGACCCAAAATAGCCGCGCACTCCTCATCTCAAAGGACACTGCGAGGAGGGACAAAGCCCTAAGGGAGGTCCTGCTGAGGGATCTCGGGGGGCGACGCACCACCGTGACCGGGGCGGCTGCGTGCCCGGGAGAGGGCAGAGAGGATGAGCTGGAGGCGCTCGGCCATAGGGAGAGTAGAGTCCTCCAGGTGGTAGTGGACGGCCTCGCCGAGGTCGAGGTCGTTGCTATGGTCACCCTCTGGCGACAGCGGGGTACCTGCGTCTTGCTCACCATACTCGAGCGCGCTGAAGCGGCGGGAGAAGTGGCAGCCCTGCTGCGCGGAACGGCGGGGGCGACCTCGGAAAGGGGAACGGCACTGGGAAGTGTCGTGAGAGGAGGCGGCGGCGTAGCCCGTGCGCTGAGGCTGGAAGGAGGAGGCGGGGTGAAGGCGGGCCCTCACCCGCTTATGGTCCCTGGCGGCCTCGTAAGCCTGTGGGGCCGATGTGAACTCGTACCGCCATAGCTCGGAGCGGTACTCAAGGGGAAGGCTGCCCAAGAAACGATCGATAAGGGAAGCCTCGGGAAGGAACGCCACATCACAAATGAGGCGGGCGTCCTGAAAGACCTGGATGTGGCGATCCAGGACGGCAGCGCCACCATATTCGGACCAGCGTATAGTGACGACACGCTCAAACGCATCAGTCACATCATATCGGGCTCCGAAGCGATCCCTGAGGAACGCCTGGAAATCCATGAAGGTCGGAGTCCGACCCGCATGAAGGGAGTAAGCGTAGAAATCCTCCCAGGCGTCAAAAGGGCTGCCACACAGGCGCGTGGAGAGGTGACCCACCCACGTGTTGGGTGGGGCGCCCATGAGCTGGAGGGTGCGGGTGGCAGACTGTAGCCACTGAGACACGCGTATGCCTGTGCCGTCATACAAGGCAATGTCCGTCAAGCGGACGAGTGGTGCGCCACCGTTTTGGCGGCGAGGGGATCGAGGAGCAAAGGCCTGTGCCACGACTGAGTAAGTCGGCGCAGGTCCTGGAGAAAGGGGTGCAGCTGACTGTGCGCTCGGGCCTCATGGGGGAGCGGCGGGGGCAACAGCGGCAAGCTGCGAGGGAGCTGCGGTAGAAGAGGTCGCAGCAACCACAGGAGTAGGAAGAAGGTAGGATGGGGCTGGATAGAGTGCAGGGTGAGGGAAGCGAGCCTCCATGGAAGGAAGGGTAGAGGAAGAAGGGGGTGCGCCCGAAGGCGCGACCACCTGTGAGCGTGGGGGTAGCTGAAGGCGTAAGAGGGCGAGGTAGGCTCAAGTCTGGGCAAGCTTGTCCTCGAGACGTTGGACGTAGATCGAGCGAGGAGTGGCAGGAGGAAGAGTGGGGGAAGTGGACGCACGAGCGGCGCGGGGCATCCCAGAAGGGGGAGAGCCAGGTGGCGCTGCGGTCGTGCGAAAGGGAGGGAGAAGCGGGGCACCGAGAAAAGTTGTGACCATGGTAGCGGGTTGTGATTCCGTGGCCGTAGTGACCGGAATCTGGGCGGGTGCACCCGTAGATTGAGGGAGGGCCTGACTCGTGGTGGCCGTCGAGCTAGGGGCGTGGACGGTCACCAAGATGGCCGGTTCGGGGGCAGCGGAGGAGGAAACTCCACCATGGCCACCCCGTCGGAGGACTGGGGACCTGGACTGGGAGTCAGGAGACGAGAGAGAGTCAGGAGATGAAGGACAGGCAGCGTCCTGGATTTGCCGCATGCCGTCGGCAAGGGTCGCCACTTGCGCCTGTAAGGGCGCGAGGGTCACGAGTTGTGCCTGAATGGGTGCGAGGAGGGAGGTGATGAGGGTGTGCAGATCCCCCCGGGGCTGATGGCCCTGGTCCGTCGGCACGGGTGTGGAGCCCGGTGCCATGGTCGTCGCCACGTCGGTGGCGTGTGACACACCCTCGGCCATGGGGAGGTGACGGGCCGGACTGGAGGGGGCCAGAGGAGGTCCGCGTGAGCGGAAGGCGTAGGGGGGGATCCGCGGTAGGAAGCGGCGGACGGCGCTAGCAAGGCTAGCGCGGGCGCCGTCAAAGGTGGAGGGGTGGTTCGGGTCCAGGGTGCCCGAATAGGACGGGGAAGTAGGGGGCTTTGAAGAACCCTAAACCCTATAAAACCCCTAAGAAAACCCTAACCGGAGTTTGAGTGGTTAGGGTAGTTTCGGTGACCTAATCAAGAAAATTAAATAGCAAGCCTGGAGGGGGAGGAGGGAGGGAAATAAATAAACAGTGAAATTTCGAGAGAAGAGAAAAATAAAATAAAATAATCATAATAATTAAAAAAATAAGTAAACAAGATGTGAAGAGAAAAATAATATTTATTTTTTTGGAATATTCGGCAGCATTTCCCTACCCCCCATGGGATCAAGAATGTGCCAAGGGAAAAAAGAGACCAAGATAAGCAAACTAAGTTTCAAAGTGTCGCAAATGAAAAATTTCAGAAAATAAATAAAGGAATAATAAATAAATAGATAAAAAAATAGATAAATAAATAAATAAAGAAATAAATAGAGGAGGGGATGACGAAAAATGAAATGTTGGATTTTTCAAAAATTTCGGCAGCATTTCGTTACCCCCATGGGGTCGAAGTGTGTCGTCAAGAAGAAAGGCAAAGTAAAGTGGGAAAATTTCGGCAGCACTTCGTTAACCCCACGGGGTCAAAATGTGTGCCGAAAGCAAGAAGGACGAACTCCTAATCAGATTTAAGGATGCCGCAAGGAAATTCAAATTTTCAGAATAAGTAAAGAAATAAAAAAATAGAAATCAGAAAATGAGAAAAGAAGGTGGGGAAGAAAATAATTCAATTTTTTTTTGAAAAAAAGAGAAAAGATAAATAAAAAGAAAGATAGAAAGAAGAAGAACATAAAAAATTCGAAGTAGGGGAGGAGGGGAATGAAAAGTGAAGGAGAAAAGAGAGAAATAGGTCGGAGAGAGAAAAAGATGGAAGTGGGAGGTAAGGGGATGATGTGGTGGTAGTTGAGGGAGAGGAGGGTGAGAGAATGGGAGAGAGAGGGATGGGGAAAGGTGGAGAGGGATCAAGAAGCAAAGAGAAAAGGAGGAAAGAAAGAAAATAAATGAAGAAAAGAGAGTAAAAGAGTGGGTGGTGGGAGAAAAGGTGGGGTGGGGAAGGTAAAAAGAGGAGGGAAAAGAGGCAGTGGAAGGTGGGGGAAGGAGAAGGGGTGAGTAAGAGGAGAGAGGAGAGGTAGGGAAGGTGGGTTAGTAGAGAGAGGGGAGAGAGAGATGATACCTTGCCCTTGGTGTCTCCAAGGGCACAAGGTATACCAAGACGAGGAGGGTTTTGGCCTTCACTGCAGCAGCGAACTGGAGGAGGAAGGGGGGGCTGAGATCTTGATCAGCCCCTACCAGCAGATCCAGGGTGTGCTATGTGAGCAGACGCTCACCACAGTAGAGCAGCCCCTGAAACAGGGGGTCTTCAAGTCCACAGCAAGATGCCACGTGGCACTGCAGGTGGCCACATGCACAGGCGGCCGCAGCCACGGGGCGGGGGGGCAAATAGCAGCCCGGTCGTTGCTGCCCTGCTGGCCGCTGCTCGCTGCTCGTCGGGGGGGGGGAGTATAAATAGCCAACACGGCACCTCTTCAACACGAGTGTGCCGTACTACAAGGCCACGCACACACTGTGGCGAGTGTGTTATGAGGGTGGCTACTCACGCGCATAGCCCAACAGATGCCTGGGTTCAAACCCCGGCGGCAGCAAGATCCCGGATCTTGATAATATAAAGTCGGGGGCGGGATGGGGCGGGGCAGCGTGGGCACGTGGTGCGACGACCTTGGCCTTGGCGCTTGCGCGCGCGCGTCGTGACGGCAGTTCCCTTTTCGCCACGTGTTGCTCTGCTGCTCCCCTCTGTTTTCGTCGAAAACAGCAGAAAATCCCGTTGTCGGGATTTGCTGTTTTCCCGTATGTGCGGTGTGGCGGGTGGGAGCGGGAACCGTTCCCACTCCGATACCAATGTGGTTGACCCACCAGGGGTGGTGCTCCCCCAGAGATAGAGATGGAGATGGAGGAAGAAGGGGAGCGAGATGGCACAGCGCAGCTCCTACGCCAGACTCCAACGCACGTACTCCAAACTGTGCGAATGCAGAATGATGAGAAAAACAGACAACTGCTGGGGTATACCCCAACGGACTGACGGGACTGGACTGGACTGGCTGGTACCGACAGAGGTACCGGCCTGGACTGGACTGCCCCGAGTACAACACATGCCTGTGAGAACAGGCCAAGGGGCTGGTCTCACAGGCCAACCAGAGGTCCGCTACAGCGGCCCACCTAGTCAACTTAGGTGTCATACGGGCCTGCGTTTTAAGCCAGCG